ACAAGTCACGACGGTCGCCCAAAACAAGTTGTGATGAGGCGCGGGGCGATTTATATCTGAGAAACAAAAGGTTGGAAGTCCAACGCATACCTGTGACGGCGATGCGTGCAAAAGGCCATCACTGTCGTACCACGAAAATGCGAGGATCCGGAATTCCGCGGGCGCGGTGTTCCAGCGACAGCGGTGGACGCTGGGGCCGCGGGCAACACCAGCAGGCGGTACCGGGAACGGGGTGTGTGCGTCCGAGTTGCATCTCCCAGATCGGTAGCCTTCGCCCGATGTATGGTTACCTGAGCCACCTCATTTATCGCATGCGAAAGGTAGATCATCATGCGGTATGGCCAACGGGAACACGCCGGCACTGCTTCATGCGAGGTTATGGCTGGGGTTAGAAAATATCCTGTGAATTCGTGAAAATGCCCGCAGTTGAGACCGTTGCCAGAAAATTGCCGCAAGTCTGCAGCCGTAGCCATACATCAGCGGCAGCGATATAGCGGCCGCGACAGCAATGGCAGCAGCAGCAGCAGCAGCAGCAGCAGCGGCAGCAGCGGCAGCAACATCAGCAACGCTGGAACAGTAAAACAAGCAGCGGTGGTGACAGAGGCAAACACGTCAGCTTCAGGAACCAACCACAGATGGAAAATTATCCGAGAAATTACTTCCTGCAGCCATGGCCAGGCACGCTCTTCGCGCTACCCGTGCTTTGTGCCTCTTCACCCTGCATAATAGAGCAGTCAATTGTACTGACANCAGCAACGCTGGAACAGTAAAACAAGCAGCGGTGGTGACAGAGGCAAACACGTCAGCTTCAGGAACCAACCACAGATGGAAAATTATCCGAGAAATTACTTCCTGCAGCCATGGCCAGGCACGCTCTTCGCGCTACCCGTGCTTTGTGCCTCTTCACCCTGCATAATAGAGCAGTCAATTGTACTGACAGCGAGTAGCAGACATCACCCGCATCATGTAAGCATGCATGTGCAGGCAGCATCCACGGCCGCCGGTCCGATCTCCTGGCTCTGTTCTGGGCGGAGTATAGTCGGCCAAAAAGGCTCTGGCCGTGGCCAAAAAAATAGTTCATTGTTGCGGTGAGACCACCACCATGAGTCATGATGTATGGCCAGCAACGCTGAGCAGGTGTCACGGAAACACTCCGTGACAGATTCCTTTCTCGTCCGCGTCCCGTCAATGTAAGAAAACATGAGAGAAGTTGAAGTTGCACAAAGAACACGCAGCTCCGGGAAGCAAAACATTGTCACATTCGACTACTGTCAATCGGCCACTCGGCAGCACCGCCAATGTGGGCCACAGTCGGTCGGTTAAGCGGCCATTCGGCAACTTCCCATCATCAGGGCTGAGCTCGGGGTGTTCCCACAGAAACACCAGGGTGGAGCTCGAGGTGTTCCAACAGAAACATCAGGGTTGAGCTCGAGATGTTCCAACAGAAACACCAGTGTTGAGCTCGAGGTGTTCCGACAGAAACATCAGGGTTGGTCTCGAGGTGTTCCAACAGAAACACCAGTGTTGAGCTCGAGTTGTTCTAACAGAAACACCAGTGTTGAACTCGAGGTGTTCCAACAGAAACACCAGTGTTGAGCTCGAGGTGTTCCAACAGAAACACCCCGCGCCCGAATGTTTTGCTCTCTGTGTATGCCATATATGTTGCCGATTGCGCCAGTGCGCAACCAGGGATGACAGCAGACAGATGTGGGAAAATGTCACGCCAGCTAAGCGGCCGGTGGGCAGCTCCCGGTCACCATGTGGACGGGTAGGCACGCATGACAGATGCCAAGGCTGTTCCCTCGATCTCGAGGTGTGCACAGAAAACACACACCCGCGGCCGGTGTATGGTCCGATCGACTCCCCTGTAGCAAAGCAGCGCGGTGAGGTGCACCAAATTGCACAACCTACGTACATGCTGCAGTGTAGCAGACAGCAACATGCCACGGCAGGCCATCAAGTGGCCACTCAGCAGCAGCATGCCATCGCCATTATTTCGATGGCATGATCAGATAGGCACGGGGCTTGCCACCGATGGGATAGGAAAGGGGTAGCCTGTACTCATGAGCAAAGGTCACGTTATCGCAATCAAGGTAGCCATGGGACGAGACCAAAGCTGTTTCGCAGAGACCGCCGCGTTCCGACGCGACCCTGCCAGCGATCGAATCGTCGTGGAAGAAAGGCCACAGCGCTCACCAAAACCCACGAGTCATGGAAATAGAATTTGACAGTAAAGGCTACAAGAGGCTGTACAGTAACGTGATAGATTCTAGATGGGTCTACAAATGGAAAGCAGATGAAACAGGCAAGAAAGTGAAGGCCAAGGCTAGGCTTCTAGCGAAGGGCTTCAAGCAGAAGCATGGCGTGGATTATCTGGAGACTTTCTCGCCTACTGCAAATGCTGCATCAATTCGTTGGTTGGTAGTATTGGCGTGCAATGATTTAGAATTTCTCCACTTTGACATTGAGCAAGCGTTTGTTCAGTCGGAATAGGATCACGAGGTGTTCATGAAGTTGCCTCCTGGCTGCGCTTCGATGTCAGGAAAGGTAGTCCGTTTAGGCAAAAAAGTTTTGTATGGACTGAGACAGGCATTAAGAACATTTCACAGGAGACTTGTGTCGGACCTGAAGAGGATTGGTTTCAAACAGTCTCTGTCTGACCCCTGTGTTCTTCCTTCCGTGATGGGAGACGAGGTGTTGGGTATGATTGCGATTCATGTGGATGACATTCTGTATGCAGGAATTGAGAGGCTTGCCACGATGGTTGTGGAAGCGCTAGGTGACTCTCTCCCCGCGAAGAATTTTGGCGAGGTCAAGTTCTTCCTTGGTTGCGCATTCGTTCGCGACCGCGAGGCTGGTACGATTGAGATGTCTCAAGAGAGTAACATCAGGAGTGTTCTCGGGAAATTCAATATTTGTCGCACCAGCTCGATCTCTGCTTCCCCTGCTAACGAAGTCCGTGATGGAGGATGAGGGGGCAGGAGATGTGCCGTTCCGAGAGGTGGTCGGGAGTCTGATGTGGATCGCGAACCAAACGAGGCCCGACATCTCAAATGCTGTGCGGGCAGTGGCGAGGCATTCTCACGAGCCAAAGAAAAGCCACTGGAAGGCGGCCCAGAAGATTCTGAATGATCTTCTGGAGACGGCGCATCTAGCTTTGAAGTACAAGCAGGACACTATGGTAGACGTAGGCACGTTGGTGCACGTCGACGCTGACTTCGCTAGCAAGGCCACTGACTGTAGATCAGTTTCGGGAGCACTAGTTCTTGTAGCTGACTGTCTTCTTACTACTTGAATTTCTAGGACGCAGAAATGTGTCACACTTTCAACAACTGAAGCAGAGTATGTTGCGATGGTTGACGGTGTAAAAGAGGCTCTGTTTGTCAACGGAATGCTCGAGCTCTTGACGCCAAGTGAGAAGCTTGGTAACATTCAGGTGCGCGAGGACAACGAAGGTGCGATTGCACTTGCTGAATCCCCTTAGCTCGTGTAAGCACATTGACGTGCGGCACCATTTTGGTAGGAATTTGACGGAAGAGGGAGTGTTGGAAATCAGTCATGTCTCTAGCGAAGGACAGCATGCGGACATCCTGACGAAGGCTCTGCCGAGAGATCTTTTTGAAGTTCATCGTAATTTTGCTCTAGGTTCGAGATCTGAGAATTAAAGGTCTGAGTTGTGTTTTGATTTTTCGTTTTTGTTTTTCTGATATACATAAAACTATATTTGGTCTGGTCGAGACAACAGCCCCAACGGAGGGTGTTCGTTGCTGCTCTGTGTCGACAGTGTAACGTAGAACACTGATGGGACAGTTCAAATGACGGGACTATCGTTTTGAAGGAATGTTCCTGGAATGTTCCATGTGGATGGTGCATTGACCCGAGCGTGTTGTCGGTATGTCGGATAGCACATTGGTCCGAGTACCGTGTTTTGTGCGTTGGTCGAGCGACATGGCTGGTGCTGCGGTGCTCGCGCACTCAGCCCACTCCAGTCTGCTACCCTGTCTCTCGAGCCAAGGTCTCAACAATACAGCATCTTTTCCCCAAAAGCCACCGAGTTTCCAACATCACCAACTCTGCCGCTAGAAAACATGACAACATGATGATGTGGGCAACGAGTAAGACCGTACGTGGCAAGATGGCCGACAGCATGATAATACCAACGGACAAAGAAGTACGCGCAGACCCGACAAAGAGCGAGGAGGTAGATTTCTTCAAAGGAACAGCTCNCTGGTGTGCCACGTTTGTTCCATCTGCTGAGGACGATTGCACCGTCTATCACCAACTCTGCCGCAAAAATACATGACAACATGATGATGTGGGCAATGAGTAAGATCGTCCTTGGCAAGATGGCCGACAGCATGAGAATACCAACGGTCAAAGAGGTACGCGCAGACCCGACGAAGAGCGAGGAGGTAGATTTCTTCAAAGGGACAGCTCGGGCGCAGGTGCACCTACCCATGCGAGAAGGAGGACTAGGAATCACGAGCAATGTTCTCATTCGAGAATCGGCTTTTGTGGCAGGGCAAGCGCTGGTGCTCTCCAAGTAATTGCAAGCACAGACAGGATACACAGTTGAGCAATGTCTACCCCGGCTTGCCCAGCTACCGACGGGATTGGCTCTGATTGACTCACTCAAGAAGCTAGAGGAGCTCATCACCAAAGACAAGCTTGAATAAGCTGTTGGGCAGTCATGGGCTAAACTTGCCACAAGTGATGAGTTAACCCCCGTCCTCAATGGAGTTTACCTGTTGGAAGTAGGGAAGGCGGGAAAACCCAGTGAAGATGGAAACCCTGACGTAGAACATCAACCACCGTCTACCT